TATATGGCCAGGGGGGGTGGGTGACCTGTAGCTGTTATATGACCAGGGGGTGACCTGTAGCAGTTATATGACCAGGGGGTGGGTGACTTGTTATATGACCGGGGGTGGGTGACCTGTAGCAGTTATATGACCAGGGGGGGTTGACCTGTAGCTGTTATATAACCAGGGGGTGGGTGACCTGTAGCTGTTATATGACCAGGGGGTGACCTGTAGCAGTTATATAACCAGGGGGTTGTTGACCTGTAGCAGTTATATGACCAGGGGGTGACCTGTAGCAGCTATATGACTGGGGGTTGGTGACCTGTAGCTGTTATATAACCAGGGGGTTGTTGACCTGTAGCAGTTATATGACCAGGGGGTGGGTGACCTGTAGCAGTTATATGACTGGGGGTGGGTGACCTGTAGCAGCTATATGACCAGGGGGTGACCTGTAGCAGTTATATGACCAGGGGGGGTGGGTGACCTGTAGCAGTTATATGACCAGGGGGTGGGTGGCCTGTAGCAGTTATATGACCAGGGGGGTGGGTGACCTGTAGCAGTTTTATGACCAGGGGGTGACCTGTAGCAGTTATATGACTGGGGGTGAGTGACCTGTAGCAGTTATATGACCAGGGGGTGACCTGTAGCAGTTATATGACCAGGGGGTGGGTGACCTGTAGCAGTTATATGACCAGGGGGTGACCTGTAGCAGTTATATGACCAGGGGGGGGGGGGTGGGTGACCTGTAGCAGTTATATGACCAGGGGGTGGGTGACCTGTAGCAGTTATATGACCAGTGGGTGGGTGACCTGTAGCAGTTATATGACCAGGGGGTGGGTGACCTTTAGCAGTTATATGACCAGGGGGTGACCTGTAGCTGTTATATGACCAGTGGGTGGGTGACCTGTAGCAGTTATATGACCAGGGGGGTGGGTGACCTGTAGCTGTTATATGACCTTGACTTATACCATGAGCCACCGTTTGAACCAGAGAATGATTGGATTAACGTAGGGTCAAAATGTGTGATTTCCGTTGACCACTAACTTATAATAAACCTTTCAGCTGATAACAATACACAGATCAGATTTGATTAAAATTTAAAAAGGAAATGATTAACTGTTGTTTAATATAAAGCTTTTAGAATTTCAAACCTCGTTAAACACAAACAGTAGGAGCGTTAGCCCCCAGACTAGACCAACATCAAACAAAATGGTAGCTAGACTAAGCTGTAGGCCTGTGGAGAGAGACAAATTGTTTAGATAGTTATTAACTTGCCAGCTGCAGTAACCAACTTGACGCCACTGGCTAAGGTAAACACATTGATGTTTTCACATAAGAGGATTCTTTACTTTTCCACCAGCTACAATTTGTCTTTTGTTGAAACACCTTGTACTCGCTGTCGCTTAATGCAACATTAGTAATATAATTAGTTCAGTGGCATAATAGGCAGGATTTTGTAGGCAGGATTTTGTAGGCAGGATTTTGTAGGCAGGATTTTGTAGGCAGGATTTTGTAGGCAGGATTTGTAGGCAGGATTTTGTAGGCAGGATACTGTAGGCAGGATTTTGTAGGCAGGATTTTGTAGGCAGGATTTTGTAGGCAGGATTTTGTAGACAGGATTTTGTAGGCAGAATTTTGTAGGCAGGATTTTGTAGGCAGGATTTTGTCATGGGTGGGAGTGCGAACAGGTGTTTACATTTTTCTTATATATAACATGTATATATATATATATATATATATATATATATATATATATATATATATATATATATATATATATATATATATATATATATATATCCTATTCCATGGGTTTTGAGGAAATAAAAGTATGGTCTTATTATAATGACAGTCTTAAGACAATAGCATTCAACTCACCACACGTGTTGTGTGAGCACATGCTGTAAGCACGTGAGACATCTGTCAGTTTGGGGTGTGAGCGTGAGTACAGAGGGAGTAACTTATCCTCACCTGTCTCCAACACTCACCTGCCTATGCCACTGTCAACAATAGTTTCATTTGTATCGCACCAACAGCACTTAGCACACTTCCTGCACCAAATTTGTATATTTCCCTCACCTCTCCCCACTATAAGCCCACCATAAGCCCACTAAAAGCCCACCCTAAGCCCACTAAAAGCCCATGTGTTTTATCTTGCACCGTGTAGACCTGCGCTAACACCTGTACATTGTTTTCTCCATCTTGTGTTGCCCTGTGTTTAAGTTTTATGCATGACTTCATGTCAAACGGTTTTATGCATGACTTCATGTCAAACGGTTTTATGCATGATTTGATGTCAAACGGTTTTATGCATGATTTCATGTCAAACTGTTTTATGCATGATTTGATGTCAAACTGTTTTATGCATGATTTGATGTCAAACATTGTTGGCCTAATTAGCTGTATAGAATTTAATGCTCACATTTTCCCATTTTCTAATTAATTATGTAAAAATGTTACTATATATATATATATATATATATATATATATATATATATATATATATATATATATATATATTGTTAGTTAATGAATGCTACACTCCATATTTACTACTAACAGAACTTCAGTTTAGAGTGTTAACTTTTATTTCAATTTTAACAAGCAAAAATTTTTTTTTCTATACCACCATTGCATAAAACTAAAGTAGATCTAAATCTTTTATTATTGTTAGGAGTAGCTTACAAATTAATTTGGCCTACTAATTAGTGTTACTAGATGTGTATTTAGTCTATCATAGGCTATAATTAATAGACCGCTTTATTGATTTTAGTAGTTCTACATCATTAGTAGTTCTACATCATTAGTAGCTCTACATCATTAGTAGTTCTACATCATTAGTAGTTCTACATCATTAGTAGCTCTACATCATTAGTAGTTCTACATCATTAGTAGTTCTACATCATTAGTAGTTCTACATCATTAGTAGTTCTACATCATTAGTAGTTCTACATCATTAGTAGTTCTACATCATTAGTAGTTCTACATCATTAGTAGTTCTACATCATTAGTAGTTCTACATCATTAGTAGTTCTACATCATTAGTAGTTCTACACCATTAGTAGTTCTACATCATTAGTAGTTCTACATCATTAGTAGTTCTACATCATTAGTAGTTCTACATCATTAGTTGTTCTACATCATTAGTAGTTCTACATCATTAGTAGTCCTACATCATTAGTAACTCTACATCATTAGTAGCTCTACATCATTAGTAGTTCTACATCATTAGTAGTTCTACATCATTAGTAGTTCTACATCATTAGTAGCTCTACATCATTAGTAGTTCTACATCATTAGTAGTTCTACATCATTAGTAGTTCTACATCATTAGTAGTTCTACATCATTAGTAGTTCTACATCATTAGTAGTTCTACATCATTAGTAGTTCTACATCATTAGTAGTTCTACATCATTAGTAGTTCTACACCATTAGTAGTTCTACACCATTAGTAGTTCTACATCATTAGTAGTTCTACATCATTAGTAGTTCAACATCATTAGTTGTTCTACATCATTAGTTTTTCTACATCATTAGTAGTTCTACATCATTAGTAGTCCTACATCATTAGTAGCTCTACATCATTAGTAGCTCTACATCATTAGTAGTTCTACATCATTAGTAGTTCTACATCATTAGTAGTTCTACATCATTAGTAGCTAAAAACACATCTAAAACACAATAGAATAACACATAATGTGTAGAGAGAACAGAACACAATAGATTGAAACAACACAGATCTAAGTTATACAACTAAAAGTTTGCCCGGGTGAAACTTGAACGTAGCACGTCCTACTGACCACAACATGTAGGCCGACATGACCACAACATGTAGGCCGACATGACCACAGGCCGACATGACCACAGGCCGACATGACCACAGGCCGACATGACCACAGACCAACATGACCACAACATGACAAAAAACAACACAGAGATAAAGTGAAACTCATTTCTGATCTGAAATAAACTAGTTTTAATATCTCTCATTTGTTCCTGCCGAAAATGTATAAATAATGTCTTGTAAGTGGTTTAAAGGTTTGTCTATTTTTCATTCTACAACTTGTGTAGTTTTTTTTTCTCAACTCAATCGCTGCTGTACGCTATTTGTTATGTTTTTGCAAAATCACTAGTCTATCAAGGTGCAAAAAATGTTTTGTTTTTTTTTAAATCGGATTTTGCTAACGAGATTTCTAATTCAAAGTGAGAGAAAACGAAACTTACAAGCCCTATTAAAAATCAAAATTGCACATGCGCTAGAGCGATCAACATAAAATTAGATATTCATCGAAAATGTTCGAAACTAAGAGATTTAGATTAAACACAAAAATTATCTCATTATATTACAAGAGTCGTGTCTAGGGTAGAGTAGGTGGGGCGGCCGCTATAGGCACCGACCCAAAGGGGTGCCAAACGTGGTTGCTACTAATATAAAAAGCTCCTTACTGAATTAAATACAGTCGTCAAAAGAATGAAACTGCTACTTGCCATTATGGGTTTATTTAATTCTACACCAACTGTGATAAACGAAAATATAAAAAGCAAGTGACTGGGAAAAAAAAGCACCGCCTTTTCCAAATGAGGGGTGGGGGGGGGGGGGGGGGGGGGGCGGGCGCATTTTCACTATCTCGAGTAACTATAGTATATAGGCCTAATTTTGAGAGGGGGCGCAAAATTGATAGCTTGCACTGAACACTGAAATAGATCGCTACGCATTTGTAAATTACCCTGTTTATAGTTTATGTAATATAACCAAAGTTGTTAATTATTAGGTACTTTTTAATAATGGCGATTGCACATTTTTGCGCCCCCCATCCCCTATGGATAGCGCCCCAGGCGACCGCCTAGTTCGCCTTATAGGTAGCGCCGGCCCTGAGTATAATCAAGAACAACGAAAACTAGATCTAGTAGCCAGAAGACTAGATCTAGTAGCCAGAAGACTAGATCTAGTAGCCAGAAGAATGGAAGCCTAAAGCCCAACGGTAGAATCCTAATGCTATTTTGTTTCTCTATCTTCAGGTGCAAATCGCATAGGGGCGCCGCCAAACGACCAAAGAATTTTAAAGTTTACCGGTGGTCTGGACACCCAAATGTGGGTCGGACACTGGCACATTCACCAACCTGAATTTCTAATTGGCGATTGTGTGTCTGTTTTTAAAAATGTCAATGGAGTTCATAAATGGAAACTGGGCCCTTGTGAGACAAAATTGCCGTTTTTATGCCAAAGGCCAGTTTGCTCTGGAGGTAGAATCTAGGTTCTAATGTGTGATTTCAATTAGGCCCTACTAGAGATATTAAATAATTAACATTAATGTAATAAGTATAATAATATAGATCTAAATCTAACAGCTAGATGTTCAGTTACTGGTCTAGTGTGAAGTATGTATTAACTTTATATATATATATATATATATATATATATATATATATATATATATATATATATATATATATATATATATATATATATTAATGACGTCACCCCTCATCCTATAACCCTCCTCAAAATTGCTGTTGAATTCTTCTTAAAACATCGATATTTTTCCAAAATCTTGTCTGAACTCCGTCAACATAGAGTATTTTGATCAATTCCTATTACAATTTATTAAAACCGTTTTCTAAAACGCGAAATATACGGCTAAAATTCGTTTTCTAACACCATCTGACCCCCCCCCCCATCCCTCATCACACACCGTCACAAAATTACGGACCCCCCTCCCCACGAGTGTGACGTCATTTATGGATGACCCCATATTATCTAGGGAGGCAGGTTTACAAATTTTCTACAATTTAAGTTATTTTAGTTAGTAGAATTTAAAATCTAACTCATTATTACTAATTCAGGAAGCTTTCATTGTACTAACGGGGGGTGTCTCCACCCTAGTTTACAGTGTGATGGAGACGATGATTGTGGCGATGGTTCAGATGAAATGGACTGCAGTAAGTTTTTTGTTATTGAAATGTCTTGGTCAATGTTATTAAATGTAAGATGAAGCAAACTTAAATAAACCGGGAGTGATCTCCCCTAAACTTTCTCGAATATCCTAATATATAAAAGGCCATGTGCGCTCTTCTCTCTCTCTCTCTCTCTGTCCGCAAAATATTTTCGCTGGACATCACGTCAGAATCGGCAGCGATATATGCAGAGCCGGCGTTAGGAATACGCGGGGCCTATGGCCAACCATCCGCGCGGGGCCTGCTTTTTTCCATTATATATATATATATATATATATATATATATATAAATATATATATATATATATATATATATATATATATATATATATATATATATATATATATATATATATATATATATATATATATATATAGGCCTATATATATATATATATATATATATATATATATATATATATATATATATATATATATATGCCTATAATATGCGTGCACACATAATAACACATAACTGTTTTGGAGTTTAAAAGCCAATGCCAAACTTCTCCCTTTAATAACCGATGGTTACCTCTCCCACGTTTTTACCCAATGTTCTTTGTTGTTTTTTTCCTTGCTAAGATATTAAATCACTTTTGACAGTTATGTAATCCATACCAAATCACTTAAGAAAATCCAATCACGTGCCGAAAAAATTAGGAAAATAAAGCTGTTTAAATTTTTCGTTAATGACTAATTGTTAATATAAAAGTCAATTGTTTTATGTATATCTAAAAAAAAGAGAGTGCACAGAATTTTAGACAAATCATAATATCAACAAAACTAAAGTAAAGTTAAAAAGAAATAGAAAAACATTGATAGCTTACGACTTTGCTCGAATCGTGAATAAATACTGGTTACTCTAGGTTTATGGATATCCAAAAGAAATGATTCTCAAATGTTATCATGGACGCTCAGTAGGGTGGAGCTTTGGGGTGGGTGGCAGTTGGTGTGGGGGGGGGGAGAGAGAGGTAAAGGATAACTTTGCATTTAAATCTATGGCTATGGGATGCCATACCCTAAAAAAAGGGTCACCAAGTTCAAGTACTCCGTTAATGGATCTCTGACTGGAGTCATTCAAAAGAAGGTTTGCGTTTATAGAGCGTCCACGTATAACATTACCGGCCATGATCGCGATCTCACAAGAGAAAGTTCATGTCTATAATTAGGAAGTGACAGCCAGCTACACCTTATTTATGAGTTTCGCGATGGCATGCTCGGGCTGCCGTGAAAGTCGGTACTTTAGACGTGGGAGAAATCAGGACAACTTGACAATACAGCGAACTCGTCAGCTCAGGTCAAATGCGAGGCGACCGTACCCTACAGAAATGGGAGGTCTGACACTGTTTTTGTATAGAATTATGGCCAGTCCCAGTTCAGGTAGGTGATAACTCACTAACATCAACCGTGGCCTCAGTTATAATAATCCACAACGTCGGCATTCGACCATTTAGTTTTTCTTAATTGAATTCAGCAACAATTTTTTAAAGTTTACAAACTAATTACTAATTCAGATAACAATGACAGTGCTAAAGCGCGGGGCCCCTTCAAGCGCGGGGCCTAGGGCGACCGCCCCGTTTGCCACCCCCTAACGCCGGCTCTGGATATATGGATACCTTTATACGGACTTTTGTTGAAAATAATATGTTAGATGTTATAAATGTATAACCACAATTTTATTTAAAGAAGAAAAATAAAAATTAAAGGCGTATTCGAATGTAGAGAAACAGTATTATTTATGCAACCGGAAAATTATTTAAACTTGGGACAAAAACGAATTTTACAATGACGTCGCTTATTGTTTACACTAAAAAAAAGAGCACGAATCTGATGACGTCATCTTCCGAGTTTAGAATAAAAAGAAATTATCTATTTCATTCAAATATGAATTAGAGCTATGTACGCTATGAAATGTATACAATACGATTTTCTCGGCCTAAACTTAAAAAAAATTATTATCTATTTGGATTCAAGATCTAGAGATTCTAGATCTAGATATTGATCTAGATCTAGATATTCTAGATCATCTAGATCAGGGGTCTCCAAACTACGGCCCGCGGGCCGGTTGCGGCCCGCGAGGTCCTCTCGTCCGGCCCGCGGAGATCTTTTTTTTCCATGGAAAAAAAAAAGTTTGTTGGAGATGGCTGAGGAAATTTGCCCAGAATATTCAAAACAATTTGAAAATGTAGCTTTGGGTGCAAATATCATTGCCCGCCGTGTTGCAGACATTGGTGAAAACATTGTGACTCAAATAGCGAAAAATACAAGCAAGTTTCGACATTTTTCAATTGCAATGGATGGGTCGCTGGACAGCTGTTCCACATCTCAGCTGGTTGTGTTCATTAGAGGTGTGGTTGAAGACAAGAACACACAAGAGCTGGCTTCCCTACATAACATGCATGGCACTGATACGGAAAGGATATATTCAATGACTTTAAAAAAAACCGCTAATTATACCTTAGAATGGACTAACCTGTTATCTGACTGTTGATGGAGAAAAGTACATGTGTGGCATAAAAAAGGCTTGATTGGAAAAGCGAATGAGAAAAAAGCATTCTACAACAACAACCAATGTTCCTACACTGTATTATTCACCAGCAAGCTTTGTGTGCTAAATATATGGACATTAGCAGTGTACTGAATCATGTGGTGAAGATGGTGAATTTAATATCACATGGGCTCAACCATAGATAGAGGCAATCATGTCGAAAGAAACAAACACAAAATCGCAAGATTTACCCTTTTACACAGCAGTAAGATGGCTAAGTTGTGAGAAAGTTCTGAGCAGAAATATGTATATATTTCTATATAAGTATAAGTTATATTTCGTTGGGGTGGGTGGGGGGTTGACGTTCTTCGGGGGGGGGGGGGGAAGGGGGGGGGGTTCCGCCACTGAAAGAGATGCCTGGAAGAAACCGGCCCCGAACTGATATTTGATAGTTGATGCGGCCCTCGGGCTGAAAAGTTTGGAGTCCCCTGATCTAGATCTAGAGATTCTAGATCATATAGATCTAGATATTCTAGATCTAGATCTAGACGATCTATAAAGCTAAGTTGTCGGGTGCCCGATAGGGCACTTCACGGGGTAAACGGCAAAAAAAGTCACAGGAAAAAAAACACAGAAAAAAGTCACAGTTTTTGCTTGGAAAAAAAGTCACAGAAAAAAGTCACAGTGGACAAATTTTATCGGAAAAAAAGTCACAGAAATAAAGTCACAGAAAAAAAGTCACAAAAATCTTTTTAGAAATCTTTTTATTAATTTGTTAAGAATTGTAAAATTTTGTATGTTTATTGTTGTGGGTTGTATTTTTTGATAGCATAAATTATTTATAGACGTTAAAAGCATTATGATATATAATAATTGTAAGTAAAAATACTGTAAGATAATTAACACAACAATCTCAACCTTTGTTACGTATTTAGTTAAATACGCGGTAGAAAAGTTAATTATAAAAGAAATGTAGGTAAATTTTGCCTTAGGCTATTCTCTGGTCGGCCTCTCCTCAGTAGGCATTGTCCGAACATATTTTGTGTTGTTGACGTTATGCGTCAATGACAGCCTTTGAACCTTGTCGGCTTTCTGTTTTGAACCTAAGTTTTTTGTTATGTAATGAGCGTGATAAATGTGGGCAGTAAAGGTGGTTGAACTAAACATAATTATTGTTGCCAATGATTTGAGGGCAGCAAGTCAGATGAACTTACCATTTCACGGTAATTTAATATTGGTATTGGTTAAAAAAAAACACGATGAAAACCGTGGACTTTAGAGCATTCTATTATATGCTACTAATCTCAAGTTTAACATAATTACAATCTACATACTTCATAATAAATATTTTTAGATGAATTATAAAAATTACTATGCGTATATAGTCTACACACATTACATTATATTTAATTAATCCCAAGTTAATTTGCACTCTCTAAATATTTAATACATAAAAGTATTAACAAATATCATGCAAATATATATTTGTGACTTTTTTTTCCTGTGACTTTTTTCCTGTGACTTTTTTTTCTGTTTTTTTTTTCCTGTGTTTTTTTTTCCTGTGACTTTTTTCCTACAATCCTTCCCGGCGCCGCAGGCGCTTCAAATTTGGCAGGATCTTGCCTTGGGGCGACAGAACACGGGGGCCGGTTGGCCGAAAAGTCTACGATGAGGGGGTCAAAACTGTCCTCGACTGACCGGCGCCTTATATGGGCGAATTAATTAAGCATTCAAATTTTCAATGTTTTCGAAATCCTAAGCGAAGCTGGGCAGCATGCCTAGTTCTTATATAACTCGGAATATAGACATGATTTTTAATTAAACTTTTAAAAATAGAATAGAATCTCGTAGAAAAAAGAATTACGCACCAAGCGAACGCCAAAACAAAATGTGTATAATAGTGCGCAATATTATTAGTACTCTATAAATTTACCTTCGTTTTTTGATAAATCAAAAATAGCGTAAATTAGTACTTCCGGTCAACGGAAATTACTCAAAATTTGACAGAAGGTAGAGAATTAGATCTTTTACTTACATGTGAAATTTCATTTATCTATCTAAAATAGTACTCAAGTTATAGGCTTTTGAAAAATTCAAAGTAGAAAAAGTACCACTTCCGGTTATCGGAAATCGCTCAAAAGCTGATCAGGATCTACGATTTTGATGAAATACTTAAATATGAAATTTCATCAAACTAGCTGTTATGGTACTCAAGTTAACGTGTTTACACACGGACAGACACACACATACGGACAAAATTGCAAAGCCCAGTTTTTCAGACTGGATTACGCATAAAACCCCACAATTTTGATAAATCTGGATTGATAATTTTTGCCCGATTAAAATAAGTCCTCTATACTTCTTCGGATGTGATGAAGGACTGAGGTGTAATACGGTCAAAACTGTCAAAATTTCAAGTGATTTTTTGTGCACGATTACAATACTTTCTCTATACTCTGTATTCGAGAAAGTAAAAAATGGTAAGCTTGAGTCATCGGTAGAGGACAGTAGACTAATCCGATTTTTCTCCATTCATTCAAGCCAGGCTGATGTTTCAAACAAATCTTTCTAAAAATTGGTAATCATTATTTACGCTATAAATGAAAACCTCCTAGATTCTGCAATGAACATGTGCCGTTATAAATTGTTCCTGTCTGGACCTTCCCACATTACGTACCCTGCAAGTGGTGGCACATATCCCAGCAATGTGGACTGCTCATGGGCCATTGAGACACAGTTGGGGAAACATGTCCAGTTGAAGGTATGGGAATGATAAGTTCAAATTTAATTCTAAAATTAGTGATATTCTTTATTATAATAAGTTTTTGTATGAGTTGAAAATATTAAAATGAGTACCTATATGTATTTTTAATGCATTTAAGCCCAATCGTCAGTGTTTTTATTATTGTAAAGCTATAGTAAGTCATTAGTTCAGTTAAATAAATAATTAGGATCGAATTAACTCTTCACATATCAACTATCTTTTATTAGTGAATGTCGAATCTTAAAATTATTTTAAATGACTGATTAAAAACAAAATTAGATTAAAAATGAGAATTTTTGCATTGTTATGTGTTGCTCTGATCAGCAAAACTGGAAGAGAATTTTTTTTCTTGGCAAATATTGTGGGGAACGTGCAAGAGATTTCTTAAATACTGTATTGTGGTTTCTCTTGTCTAGATAGTGAAGATTGTTGTATTGTGTTTTCTCTTGTCTAGATAGTGAAGATTGCTGTATTGTGTTTTCTCTTGCCTAGATAGTGAAGATTGCTGTATTGCGGTTTCTCTTGCCTAGATAGATAGTGAAGATTGCTATATTGTGTTTTCTCTTGCCTAGATAGTGAAGATTGCTGTATTGCGGTTTCTCTTGCCTAGATAGATAATGAAGATTGCTGTATTGTGTTTTCTCTTGCCTAGATACTGAAGATTGCTGTATTGTGTTTTCTCTTGCCTAGATAGTGAAGATTGCTGTATTGTGTTTTCTCTTGTCTAGATAGTGAAGATTGCTGTATTGTGTTTTCTCTTGCCTAGATAGTGAAGATTGCTGTATTGTGTTTTCTCTTGCCTAGATAGTGAAGATTGTTGTATTGTGTTTTCTCTTGTCTAGATAGTGAAGATTGCTGTATTGTGTTTTCTCTTGCCTAGATAGTGAAGATTGCTGTATTGCGGTTTCTCTTGCCTAGATAGATAGTGAAGATTGCTGTATTGTGTTTTCTCTTGCCTAGATAGTGAAGATTGCTGTATTGCGGTTTCTCTTGCCTAGATAGATAGTGAAGATTGCTGTATTGTGTTTTCTCTTGTCTAGATAGTGAAGATTGCTGTATTGTATTTTCTCTTGTCTAGATAGTGAAGATTGTTGTATTGTGTTCTCTCTTGTCTAGATAGTGAATGTGATAGATTGATGTTTCTATTAATGATACACTGACGATAGAGCCACGTTGATTGTTTATAGATCTTTAATCAGCTACCATGACGGAACAGGAAGTCACATGACATATATTAAAAAGGGACATCACTCAAAACAACATTATAAATATAAGACTAATACAAGAAGAGTGAGTTCCCTTGACTTCACAATTCTCAATATATTACAGTGAAGATTGCTGTATTGTGTTTTCTCTTGTCTAGATAGTGAAGATTGCTGTATTGTGTTCTCTCTTGTCTAGATAGTGAAGATTGCCACAGAACAAGTGCAGGATGAGTTGATCCTACTTGATGGGGGGCTAACAGAGAGCACTGCCACAGAATTAGCTCGTCTGACTGGCAGGAGCTCAACTCCCGCCTACTTCTACAGCTCTAACAACATGATGTTGCTCAAGTTTAGGTCTGACTCTGGAGGAAACTTTGCAGGATTCAACATTGATCTTGATTCAGGTGATACCTTATGCTTAAAAGTTAGCTACTCTAAATAAAATTGAACCAGTGCTAAATTACGGTGCCATTTTATTGTAATCTTATAAAACTGCTGGAACATTTTAAAAATTATGAATAATTGGTCATTGAAATTAAATGCGTGACGGCATTAAATGGCAGATTTACATTTATAAAATAAAAATTCTGTATATCATTTTCCGAGTAATTGAAATGAAAATTTTGTCTTTAGTGCAAGCTAGTAATGACTTAACCACAAATAGATTGATAGCAAAAGATGCGCTTCAAGAACTAAGTTTTCCTTTCTACAACGATTACCAATTTGGTTACCAAGATTTTACCTACATCATTGAAGCTGAGACATTGGGGAAAATTGTTACCTTACAGGTAGAATTCCTTCTCTCTAGCTCTATAGCCTTTTATTTATTGAACTAATCCTAATGTCCTAGACCTCTATAGAGGTTACATTCCAGCTAACATTGACTGTCAATATCAGTTGAAACTATGATATTTTTTGGTCTCAATCAACACATGTATCATTACGTTGCAGGGGTGACTGGCCTGCGGGGCTACCGAGAAAGATTTTGGGGGCCCCAAGAAAGAAATCTTGGTTGGCCCCCAAAATGGTGTTATAATAGTCTTAAAAAATTTATTTGTTGGTATTCCTCCATTTTACCATTTTCATTCCTTCATATCAGGGAATAAAATTCAGGCTTTGATGAAAAGAAAATGCACAATGAAAATTTTAATCTGGTGTTGGGGACCCCTTTTAAAATTTCCCAGATGTCTTGGACTGAGTCGGTCCACCCCTATTAAGGTGTATCAATTCTTTCAGATCCTAGAGCAAGATTTAGCTCCAGACTCTAGAGTTATAATTAGAGACGGCAATTCTGTTTTGAGTCCCTTGCTGAAGGTCTTGAGAGGCCGATACAGTGGCAATGGTTTTGTCTTCTCAACTGGCCGAGACATTCTGGTCTCACTTCAAACACTCAAAGGTGGAAAATACAAAGGTCTCAAAGTTGGATATAAACAAGGTACAAATACGGCAAATAATCTGTAGGCTGAGATTAGGATTATGTCTGCCTAATTTAGATTGTAGAGAGTTTTGTTAGACTTAAAACTCAAGACTTCAATAAATCCACAGCAGAAAATGAATAAGAAAATTAAAATTTACAAATTTTCCTGATTTACTAGAGGGTTGTTTTTTATTCTTAGGGTGTGAGGTGACAATCAAGAGTGGCACAGGGTACATCAACTCCCCAGGATGGGAGGTTGACAGCTACCCAAATGACCTTGCCTGCACTTGGACTGTGTCAGCTCCCAACAGAGTGCCCTTGACCCTCAAGTTTGAGAAGTTCAGCCTTGACATTTCAGATAAACTTACTGTAGGTTTATTCAAAGATCCTTTTCACTTTTATCTTTTCCTCCATATCTGTGGAGCACAGTTCTTGTTGTAGCCTGTACACAAACTAAAAACTTTTCTACCAGATACTCAACAATGTCAGTGCTGTTGTCTGGGAGCAGGGGGGAAGTGCGGTGTACCCACCACTTAGGATTGAAGGTGGCGCCTTCATTGCCAAGTTCATCTCATCACCCAGTGCCAACAGCAAAGGATTTAACATCTCATTTTCAGTCGGTAAACTCTAGTTTAATATCATTTCAAATGTAAGTAGATGGACTTTGTATGTAAACAGTTTGAGTGGATTTAATGTTCTTGATAGCTCCACCCAAACCCTAGTTTGGTATCTAGAGCTGATGGTTTTTTCCCTTGTAGATTGCCCAGAGCCAGCTATAAATAAACAGACATCAGAAATGATTGGGACAGTGGGCTATGCGTATGACAGCAGCTTTAACGTGTCCTGTCTAAATGGGAGCAAGTTTTATCAGGTGGAGCATGCTGGGAAAACATCAGTTCATTTATTTTGTGGAGCTTATGGATCCTGGAATGTCAACACCTCCCCCAGGTGTGAACGTGAGTACATCTTTTTCTTGGTACATCAAATGTCATGTACTACGTGAATATTGATCTCCCAGGTACATGGGTTTCATCGACACTTGGGAGAATATGAGAGTTGGAAAAAATTCAATTTTTTATTTTACTCCGTTACATATATAACTATCTTATCAGCACAGTTTGATCAGGTAACTTAACAACCAATCAAATGATCCGTTCCAGCAATCCTGTGTCCTAAACCACCAACATTAACCAATGGCTACATTGTCAACTCTACGGGCAACATGGCTTATAATGGAACATTGACCTATACGTGCTACCCTGGTTTTACCCTTCAGCCAACTGACACAGTTTATTGTAACTCTGATGGACACTGGTCACACATGCCATCATGCATATGTAAGTCATTACATTTCATTATGTATTGCTCACAGGGGCAACTTGTTTTTGTAAATAAAATAAAATCTCAGCTTATTTTTAAAAAGTTGGTAATTAAGTTTCTACGGGTAATCTATCGCTTTAGCGTAATCAATTCGGCCGTCACTAGTAATGTAGGGATAAGGTAACTAATAAATATGGCTTAAATATGGATATATTTTTGCATATTTTACTAAAATACTAAAGATAATTGAATATCAAACCACATTTAAGGTTTAAATCAATAAAAATGTCAGGAAATTAAAGTTTAACAACGATGTTACAGATACTAAATTTGCTATTAAAAACAGCGGCCATCTTAAGAAAATATTATTTTGAGTCATTTCCCTTTAATTTCTATTTGTATGGAAATGTATTGATGTTTGCTATTAAATAGGTTAGTCTTGTGTTTAAATACAAAGCATGCGTTTTTTTTTTTAATTCTGCCCTTTAAACAATTTAATTGACGACAATAAACATCAGTTCTAGAATTATTATTATGAGATGCAATTTTTATACATTAAGATACTCCCTATTTTTATAGAGCTACCACTACATATCTAATGTTTATTTAAATATTAGTTTGAGTTCATTCTTATTGTTTGTGTTATTGTTTGTTTCCTATTTTCATTTAATATTTTCAAGCTTTTTTCCTTTAATTAGTGATTTAATCATAAATGACGTCCCGTTTTTTGACCTCTCTTCTGCTTAACCTCCCCCCCCCCCCCACCCATTTTCGCCGTCACGAAATAGTTGTAATGTCGAAAATTACCTTTTTGCCCTGTCTGTTAAAGTCAAGCCATAATTCTAATGAAAAATATTTTTATCATTTTTGTATTAGGCGAAATACATAACGTTTCACGTTTCTTACCCCTCCCACTTCCCGCGTAAAACGTCGTCTCAAAACCAGTTACTCCACCCCTTAAGTGTGCGATGTCATTTAGGGTAGATGTCAAGTCCTATATACATTTTGAATAACCTTTGTTGTCAAAATGTTGATACCAAATACCCAAAATGAGTTATATGGGGTTGCCCATAAACGATGTCACATATGCAATGCTAATGTGACGTCAACTTACGCAGGGTGGTGGGGGGGGGGGGGGGGATGCGTGACGTCTATTTTGGAATCTTCTATAAAGCTGTGCTCAATGAAAATGAGGAACATAAAGCGTTCGTTTTCATGCATACATTTGTTCATAACTATTGCATGCCTGTTGTACCAAGCGGTGTTAAACAACCTCAGCACACCATCCCCGCCAAAAAGGGCCTGCCATTAAATGCCTACCGACGAAATTAGGCCGCACTATATTGACTCCAAATGAAATAACTTCTGACAACAAGGCTCAAACCAAGTAGCTCCTGTCAACAATATTCGACAAGTATTGACTAGCAGGTAAAATGGGACAAATCGAAAATTGAAAGTTTGTCGCCTCTGGGGGGTGACACCATTAAGTGCCGCACCGGGTGACACTCGACCTCGCTACGCCACTGAGCTAATGTAAAGCCACAGCTCAGTATTGGCTTAAATTTAACATAAAATAGTGTTAGCAGTGGACAGCCTCTAAGACTGTGCATTAGGAGTACGGCCGTCGGCAAAACGCCAGAGTCCGACGATATCTGAACATCAATTTTGTCTTTTATGAAGTGCGGAGCACCTTTAAGTCCTGAGCTTGGCCCCTGTTGACACCACCACTAGCGCCGCTTATGTCCACATAATAATCACACGTTTTGCGTGGAGCTTAATGGACAGACGTTTACAGGTGGGACCGGGAGCCTAAATGCATTTACCGAAGCCGCTGTGTCACGGGCATTTTAGAGCCGAACGTCTCAGGGCAGCAGGTTGCAGAAATTAAAAGCACGTGAATTTGTATAGTAGAGGGAGAACATCATGCCACTGTAATAAATTAAACACCAATATAATTCACCGAACTAAAGTTATTTAGATCTATTAGTCAGGCTAAACGTCGTTAAAGTCTCATCGCCATAGTGATTTAGTGCCTGTTTTGATTTTCTTTTAATTACGCGGTATCTTTCTTAAACATTAGCCTAATGACAAATGACGTCACGCGCGCCGCGAACTTTGTGACGTTGTGCTTAGTGGGGGATGAAACGGCGTGGTTGTGAAAAATGACGTATTTCTTTTTTTTTAACAGACGAATAAGTGATAGATTCTAATTTTCCTACGAACTATACGTTGATCTAGTGTTTTTTTTCTAGAGGGGGATATCACTATATTGTGATGGGCGGTTTATATATAATCTCAATATATTCTGATCTACTACTATTCATACGGCAACTATTATACTCGTGAGGAGGACGGGAATCACTCGTATGTTCCGCAGACACTAATTAACAATGTCAACAACTTAGTTTATGAAATAACATGAACTTAATTAACACACACGTATAGATCATTTTCACAATATCAAATAATACGTCCGTTTTCTACTATATCTAACCCCCAACTAACTTCACTGTTGCGTCTTACGTCATCGGTACATTGTCGCACCATGCTCACGTCACACTCACGCCACAAATATTTTTTTGAACACGCGCACAATACTCTCGCACCAAATCGTCTACCGTCCTTAGTAACCTCTACTCGTCTAGTCTAATTCTATATATCTACGCTATGACACATATAGTGGGTGTTTTTTTTTTTTTGGTGTGGTAATATGGATGGTGGGGAGGGGTAAACATTGACTACTGAAGAAATAAAAAATTGATGACAGCAGAAGGCAAAGAAAAAAAAAAAAAAACCATTTGGTATTCAAATGTAACAAATTAAAATTTGAACCTATTTTAAAAAACACAATAATCTTAATTCAGAAAAAGTGTAGGCCTAAGACTAATGTCTACAGACAAAATAAACAACTAGGCTTAATTAAATGGATCGCCCATAAATGACGTCATACTTTTCCCGACAATTTCCCTCTCACCCAATAGTTACTAAAAGCAAGATGATGATTTAATATCATTTCGCAGTTCTACTATACCCGAACCCTTAATCACAATTTCTAACGAAAACGAATATATTCTTCATCATTTTTGAAATAATATTTTACACCGTCCCATATTTTGAGTCCAACGTCATTTATGAGGAATATGGACGACCTAATAATTGACAAGGGGTCATCCATAAATGACGTCACGCTTTTTTTACGATTTTTACCTCCCCCCTCCCCTCCGTCACACGTCGTCACAAAAAGTCAGACCCCCCCCTAAAATGACGTCACACATCAGCCTACAACCCCCCCCCCCCCCAAAAAAAAATTGCAGTTGATTTTTTTTTAAAACATCGATATTTTTCCAAAATCTTGTCTGAAATATGTCAAAATATAGTATTTTAATCAATTCCTATTATAATTTATTAAAACTGTTTTTTAAAAAGCTAAATAATGTCTAAAATTCGTTTTCTAACATTTCTTATCTATAAAGCAAAAGTGTGACGTAGCACCATCTGAACTCCCCCCCCCCCCCTCTCCCCCTCATCACACATCGTCACAAAATTACCGACCCCCCCCCTCCCCCCTACGATTGTGACGTCATTTATGGACGACCCATAATCAGTACAAAAGGGTTTAGTAAATGTTGGACCTCCCAAAATTTTTTGAGATCTTGGATGTACATACATACATAGCCTTCATTCACTTGAAAATGAAATTAAAGATAAGAAGACGGCCCTCTGTCTTACTTATATTAAACAAGACAGGTATGTATATTAAACAACAAAGTCAACACAATATACATACGAATAGACATTTTTATCCAGGGAAACTACTCTAAATTTTATTTGGAAAGATGGCCGCTGTTTTTTTTCTACTAATATTTATCTCAAACACCTAGTTTAAAGTTAGTTTCATGTTATTTAAATTGTTTTGGTCACTGTTTGTTATTTTAAATCAATTATCTGTGATATTTTGTAAAATTTGACTTAAATAAACTTATTTAAACAAATATATTCATCAGCTACCTCTACCGCACATTACTACTGCAGCCGAATTGATTACGCTAAAACGATAGATTACCGTTTCTACGTGCTTCTGATTATTATTCACAACCAAATTAAATTTCTTTCAGCCTCTGATTGTGCATCACCACCCAAAGATCTGCCCAATGGGAAAGTTACACTAACAGGAAATGGATCCTACGCTTCAATACTTCGATACACTTGTAATCCTGGATATGATCTTATTGGGGTCACAACACAGTTTTGTGGGTCTGATGGTCAGTGGACTGGTCAAGCTCCGATGTGTAGAAGTGAGTGACATCAGATTTGACTAGCTCTCCTGTAATTACACTATGTGCATCTCAGTTAGAGTTGATGGTTTAGGTTTGGAAGGTTTTGAAGATTCAAGCAGGATTATTTAAGATTGTAGAGATTGAAGTTTGTTTTAAAAATATTTTCCTCCCCTGTTGATGATCTAGCTGTTGATGATCTAGCTGTTGATGATCTAGCTGTTGATGATCTAGCTGTTGATGATCTAGCAGCTGTTGATGATCTAGCAGCTGTTGATGATCTAGCAGCTGTTGATGATCTAGCTGTTGATGATCTAGCTGTTGATGATCTAGCTGTTGATGATCTAGCTGTTGATGATCTAGCTGTTGATGATCTAGCTGTTGATGATCTAGCTGTTGATGATCTAGCTGTTGATGATCTAGCAGCTGTTGATGATCTAGCTATTGGTGATCTAACTGTTGATGATCTAGCTGTTGATGATCTAGCTGTTGATGATCTAGCTGTTGATGATCTAGCTATTGTTTTCTATTCCAGTCCAGAAATGCAAATCTCCAACCGTAGCCAATGGTGATGTAAACGCCAGCGAGGCAGAGTTTAACCAGACAGTAGAGTTAAGCTGTAGGAGCGGCTACACCGTCAGCCCAGCAGGCAGTGCCATCATGACCTGTGGAGACGACCAGCAGTTTCACCCACTTCTATCTTGTATAGGTAGCCTGTCAAAATTTATTTTTATTTGAACCTGATGTATCCATTTTGTGTCAAACTTCGTTTGAAATCACCTGATGATTGGGATGACAAGAGGTAATGGCCATGTTTGTTACCTTTCTGCAGATGTCAATGAGTGTAACTCCAATGTTTGTCAACAAGTGTGTAGCAACACACCTGGCAGCTACACATGTCGCTGTTTACCTGGGTATCAGGCAGATGGAACCAAGTGTAATGGTTAGTGGCTCAGTTTAGTGGCTCAGTTTAGTGGCTCAGTTTAGTGGCTCAGTTTAGTGGCTCAGTTTAGTGGCTCAGTTTAGTGGCTCAGTTTAGTGGCTCAGTTTAGTGGCTCAGTTTAGTGGCTCAGTTTAGTGGCTCAGTTTAGTGGCTCAGTTTAGTGGCTCAGTTTAGTGGCTCAGTTTAGTGGCTCAGTTTAGTGGCTCAGTTTAGTGGCTCAGTTTAGTGGCTCAGTTTAGTGGCTCAGTTTAGTGGCTCAGTTTAGTGGCTCAGTTTAGTGGCTCAGTTTAGTGGCTCAGTTTTAGAACTCTTTGATTCTAGATCTAGAAGAATAATTTCAGATAAAATAATTAGTAGATATAATTCAGTTTCATATGATTGTTCAAGATTTAAACTATCAGCTCATGTATTACTTCAGTTTTATAATATGCTTAAATCTGCAATCTGTTGTAGATATTGATGAGTGCAGCACAAGCTACCCATGTAATCAAAGCTGCACAAATTTGAATGGATCCTATTCATGTGCGTGCAACACTGGCTATACATTATACACAGCCAATGGGACGGAGAAGTTTTTTATACCTCAATCAGAGGATGGTACACTGGCCGGGGACACATATAGACTCAACCATTCTTGTGTTCGTAAGTTAAATATCAGTGAAGAAAACCACGCAGTCCAACAGAGACAAAAGAAAACCCATCCCATCCTAAAGTTGGACTGCGTGGTTTTCAGCCACATTACTAATATGATTTCACTATTTATTTTGTTGTATCCCATGTTGTATCCCATGTAATATCCCATCTTGTATCCCATGTTGTATCCCATCTTGTATCCCATGTTGTATCCCATTTATCCCAGCTTGTATCCCATGTATCCCATCTTTTATCCCATATATCCCATCTTGTATCCCATGTTGTATCCCATGTTGTATCCCATGTATCCCATCTTGTATCCCATGTATCCCATCTTATATCCCATCTTGTATCCCATCTTGTATCCCATCTTGTATCCCATGTATCCCATCTTGTATCTCATGTATCCCATCTTGTATCCCATGCAGCTGTTCTGTGTACCAGCCTGCCCACACCAGCCAACGCTGAACTGCTGACCCAGAACTTACACTACCACTACAAGGCCAAGGTTGAGTTCAAATGTCAACTGGGGTTTGTTATGTCCAACCCAATGGCCGGAGTTTTAACATGCGCAGACACTAGAGCTTGGACTGGCCCTCAGATCAACTGTACAAGTTAGTTCCATTGAGCTTTTGTTAGTTCCATTGGGCTTTTGTTAGTTCCATTGGGCTTTTGTTAGTTCCATTAGGCTTTTGTTAGTTCCATTAAGCTTTTGTTAGTTCCATTAGGCTTTTGTTAGTTCCATTAGGCTTTTGTTAGTTCCATTGGGCTTTTGTTAGTTCCATTGGGCTTTTGTTAGTTCCATTGGGCTTTTGTTAGTTCCATTGGGCTTTTGTTAGATTTAATCCATTGGGATTTAAACAATGGTTTCAGTTACAACTTGGTTTAAAAAAAAATTCTGACTTACATGTCCTATCATGTTCCACTTGTATAATACAGAAGCCATTCATGTCCTACCATGTCCTACCATGTCCTACAGAAGCCATGTGTGATGTAGAACCAGCAACCAACTTGACCAACCCAGGAAACCTAAGCACAACTGCTACCATGATACCATACGGAGAAGTCATCACCATTTCCTGCTTTAGGCCTGGCTTCAAACCTTCCAGCTTTACAAGGAGAAGAAGATGCACTCTAATTGGTGGCCAGTATACACTTGATGGTAGTGTCAAAGACTTTGATTGTGGCTGTAAGTGGTTGCACTTCTTTAATAGATGCATACATATATGTACAGATAATGCATGTATTTTTAAACATATAATATGTGATCGTTAATGTGTTAATGGCTTGACCACTAATTAAATTTGTTCCTTAAAACTGTGTCCATGTTTTTATTAAGTCATTTCCTGTGGGAGGCCCAAAAATGAACCAGGATCTAGCTACAGCAGCCTCTCAACATTCTACTACGGTAACAGTTTTATTTTTGGCTGTGAGAGCATGTTTACACTTGAAGGCATGAGCACCCTGAACAACAATACAACAGTCACATGCAAAGCTGATGGCACCTGGGATTTTGGCAACCTGTCCTGCTCAGGTTAGTTCCTTGTGGCGCAGGGGCAGCAATTGGCTTCATCTCATTACTCATGTTGATAGTCTGCAGAGGATAATCTCTCTAATCTCTCAAATCTCTCTAATCTCTAGGTGTACAATGTGAGGACCCAGGCCAACCCCACCTGGGGCAGCAGGTAGCCAGTGACTATCGAGAAGGTCAGCTGGTCATCTTTAACTGTACACGCCCTGGCTACCAGCTGGAGCCACCGTATCCCATGTCCTGCAACTTTTCAAACAACAAACCTTCATTCAATGCTTCACTGCCCAAATGTCAAGGCAAGTTCTTTGTCATCAGAAATCTTAAATAGGTGTAGCAGTGGACTTTGTATTACTTTAAAGTTTGAAGTTTAAAAAATTGATATCTAGATTCTGTATATTTCAGATCCCATTCATGCTCTGATTTATTTTGAGCTGAACCATCTATTTAGGTTAGGTTGAAATTGAAGTGGATTTGTACTTAGATAGATAATACAACAGACCAGGAAGCCATTTTTATGTACCTTGTTTATTCTGTATCGGAAACGGAAACACATGACATGAAAGGGACATCACTCAAACATTATAAGACTAATACAAGAAGAATGAGTTCCCCCCCAAAATAAAGCTCAATATATTACAGAAATAAATTTTAAAAACTCTATTACATCCAATTTTTTAGACAAAGAAAAACCAACAATTGAAAACTGTCCGTCATCTGAAATCTTCATTGGAAAAGGGAAATTGGTGTCGCCTTACGTGTCCCCTGTCCCCTCAGACAATGGGGGGATACAGTCACTTGTGGTACTTCCAGCATGGCCGCCTAGCGACATGACGCTCAGCGCCATGGTAACCAAGGCAACCTTCAACTTCACATACAAAGACTATGCTGGAAACCAAGAAACTTGCTCTGTAACATTAAAAGTTAAAGGTATGTATAGAATTTAGTTCTGTGACATTAAAGGTATGTATAGAAACCTGATCAGTCACAATAACGATTGAGAAGAGTATATTTTTTTTACACAAAAAAAAATTGGGTCTACACTTTTAAAAAGCTGTAGTTGTTTATTTTTTGTTATTGTTAAAAATGTCAGCAATATCCACTAACTGGTGGCACTGCTGGTTACCATGGCACCCTACTTTATCTGACATTCTGCATCTATTATTGTCCATATTTTGAACCAATCATTGACAACAAAAGATTTCATATGGCATGGTTTCATTGAGTCTTGATTTAAAAACAACTTTTGAATGGAGTGTAATAGATTGACGATAGAAGCATGTGATTGTATATAAAACGTTTATTGGCTTCAACTACATGATGGAAACGAGAGAGGGCGGAAGTGACGAGACACAAATATATATATACATATAAGGGACATCACTCAAGATAACAGTATAAATATAATACTAATACAAGAAGAGTGAGTTCCCTTGACTTCACAAGTCTCACTATATTACATCCCTTTACCCTTAGTAAACACAACACATCTCTCAATAGAACAATTTACAGTATCCTAAAATCACCAATTATATTGTAACATGAACACTAGGGTAGATTACATCCTTACAAACAATGCACAATATGTTACAACATAATTAAAATACAAAACAATGATGTCAAAGTCCTTTTGACCTTTAAAATCATAGGTCTAACTTATTTGGGACTTTGATTGTCCTGCTTGACCTTCTCAGTGGCTTTTGATTTGGTGTCTCAAGATTCTGACCATATGGATTCTCTATCTCAGGAGGTCTAGGATCTAAATCATTAATTCCAGAATTTACATTTTCTGACTCTAGACAACTTGGTTCACTCATATCAACAGAACTTGGTTGTGAAACAAACTGAGTTGGTGTGAACTGTTCAGATTTGGTGGGATTGACAGATTCACACTTATTATCTGCACAAGTTATTTTTAACTGGTCTGCATGTCTACGGACAATAAGTCCATCATTTGTTTTTACTTTATAAGACACAGGTCCTGTACATTGAACAATTTGACCTGGTATCCATTTTTCCCTTCTCCCATAATTTCTCAGATACACATTATCATTAACTGCAAATTCTCTTTCAATGGATGATTTGTCATGATTTACTTTTTGTGTATGTTGATGTTGGGAAACAGACCTTTGAACAGTTGGATGTAGTAGGTCAAGATGAGTTTTAATTTTCCTACCACATAGCAATTCGCATGGTGCAACACCTGTTGTTATATGAGGAGTTGTGCGGTATTTGGCTAAGAACCTGTTTACTCTTTCTCTGAGAGAAAATTTGTTACCGGTACTCATTTTTACCATAGCGGTTTTGAATATTCCTACTGCTCTTTCAGCCAAACCATTCCCAGCAGGGTGATAGGGTGATGTGGTTATATGCTCAATACCATTTGCTACACAAAACAGTTTAAACTCATGAGCTGTGAAACTAGGCCCATTATCTGAAACAATTTGATCTGGTAATCCATGAGTTGAAAATATTTCCTTAAGTTCTATAATGGTATCATTTGCAGTGATTGTGTTCATGATTTTAACTTCTAACCACTTAGAATGTGAATCAATATCAATTAAGAACATTTTGTTCATGAAGGGTCCTGCGAAATCTATATGTATACGTTTCCATGGTTCGATTGGCCAGTCCCAGTTTTGCAAAGGTGCTGTAGCTGGTTGCTTTGAATGTTGTGCACAGCTTGAACAAAGCTTTACATATTTTTCAATATCAGCATCCATATGTGGCCACCAGAACCACGAGCGTGCAAGACTCTTCATTTTGGAAGAACCAAGATGAGTACCTATCATGTAAAGTTCTTAAAACTTCTTTTTGTAACATTTTAGGGATAATGACCCTTGACCCCCATAGTATACATCCATCTTCTAGACTTAACTCTGTTTTTCTTATTTTATATGGCTTTAAGTCCTCATTCACTGACTCTTCAGGCCAACCATTTTTACAGTACTCATATACTTTTATTAAGCACTCATCTTTTTGTGTTTCTCTTTTAATCTTTTAATATCATTCACATTTATATTGGAGTTATCCATGATAGTGAAGAGAACAAATACATCTTCTGGTACATAGCTAAGGCTTTGGTTTTTTAAAGGTAATCGACTAAGACTATCTGCACTATTCTTAGATCCAGGTTTGTATCTCAATTCATAATTGTATGCAGTTAGTGTGATAGCCCATCTTTGAATTCTTTGTGTGGCATGCTCAGGTAGGGTTTTGTTATCTCCAAATAAACCTAGCAATGGTTTATGATCTGTAAAGATGGTGAACTTCCTACCAAACAGAAACTTATGAAATTTCTTAACACCAAAAATGATGCCTAAGCCTTCCCTATCTAACTGAGAATAATTTTTCTCAGCCTGGTTCAAAGATCTACTGGCAAAAGCAATGGGTCTGTCACCCTTTTCATCCATGTGGGACAAGACTGCTCCTACACCATCTGGTGAAGCATCACATGTTAAGATAAGTCTTCTCCCTGGGTCATAGTGAGTTAGTAAGGTGTCAGAAGACAAAGCTTCTTTTGCTGTATTAAAAGCAGCATCTTGTTGTTTACCCCAGTGCCAAGTTGCATTTTTCTGTAGCAGCTTGTACAGTAGTGATAGTTTACCAGACAGATTTCCCATGAACTTCGCATAGTAATTTATCAAGCCCAAAAAAGCTCTTAGTTGTTGGGTATTTTCAGGTTTGGGTGCTTCTTTAATGGCTTTTGTTGTCTCAGGTTGAGGTCTGAGACCTTGCTTGCTTAATATATAACCAAGAAAACTAATTTCTGTCAGCATGAATTGACATTTATCTTTGTTTATCTTTAAACCTTTTTCACCAACTATTTTCAAGACTTTATCAAGTGTTTTAAGATGTTCAGTGTCATTCTTACCAGTTATGTACACATTGTCAAAGTAAACACCAACATTTGGAATATCCTTAAAAATACTGTCCATGACAGCTTGGAAAATTCCAGGGCTGGATGATATACCAAAACATAGTCTTTCATATTGGTAGAGTCCTTTATGTGTGTTTATTGTCGTATAGACTTTTGAATCTGGATGCAGTTCTAGTTGAGTGTAAGCATGACTAAAGTCTAATTCAGTGAATTTGTCTCCTCCTGCCAAATTCAAAGAAATTTCCTCAATGTTAGGAATAGGGTACCTATTTAGCTCTATTTGCTTATTCAGTGTGGCTTTATAGTCTCCACAAATTCTTACAGAACCATCCTTCTTTAACACTGGCACAATGGGCGTTGCCCAATCGGAATAGTCTACCTTCTTTATGATGCCATTAGATTCCAATCTACTTAGCTCATTTTCAATTTTATTCCTCATTGCATAAGGTGGAACTCTAGCTTTGCAGTATCTTGGATTTGTGTCTTTAATGCTTATCTTCACTGTTCTATCATTTAGTAATCCTGAATTACCAAAAACACTTTCATTTTCAGATATAACTTTATCTATTGAAGTAAAACTAGATTCTCTTGCTTTGATCACTGAAAATATACTCTCCCAGTTTAACTTAAGATCACTTAACCAGTTCCTACCTAGTAATGGTGGTCCATTTCCTTCAACCACAAGAAGAGGAAGTTTAACACTTTGACCATTATAACTTACATGAACCATACACTCTCCTATCACTGGAACATTGTCACCAGTGTATGTTGTTAGACACTTGTGACATGGTTGTAGAGGCACTGATCCTCCTGTGACAGCGTCAAAGTCCTTCTTTGTGATGACTGTTAGAGATGCTCCAGTGTCAAGTTGGAAGCTGATGCTCTTACCGTTGATATTAACTAGTACATTGATGGGAGCATGACTTATTGATTTCACAGAGAACAGGTTGAAATCCGGCTGCGAATCAGTTTGAGCATTTTCACAGGTAGAGTGGTTCATTGGTTGGGTTAGGTAGTCTTGGTGAGAGTTAACATAGTGCTGCCTTTGGTTGCGGTACTGTCTTGACTGGCTAGATTTAGCAACAGACGAAGACTTTGCAAAGCAGGCCTTGGCAATGTGACCTTGCTTACTGCACTTATAACAAGTTGCTGATTTGAACTTGCATCGATGAGATGCATGGGGACCTTTGCATCGATGACATTTTTGATAATTATTACTAGATTTAGATCTAGGATTTGAACGAGCAGGCTGTTTAGCATAAGTTGGAATGCTCTGATGGGGTTGGTGTTTGTTGACTAACCTGCTGTTTACTGCATGGATCCCTGAGGGTGCTAGAGATCTCGCCGCATCGGATGACTGCTGGAATGAAGTTGCTAGTTGTATTGCTTTTTCTAATGTTAGATCTGACTCGAGCAGCAACTTTCTTTGAACATCAGGGCTATTTACACCTGTCACAAACTTTTCACATAGTCTGTCAGACAGCGTGTCTCCGAATTCACAGAATCTACTTAAATAACGTAAAGCAGCAACATATTCTGATATTGACTCGTTTGGTTGACGAGTCCTACCGTCAAATCTAGCTCTACACAGAAACTTTGATGGTACAGGCGCGTGGTGGTCTGTTAGCAATTTGCTCAGCTCGTTAAAGCTCTTGGTAGTTAGACTAGCTGGTGCGCATAAGTCCTTTAATAGCCTAAATTGTTGAGGCCCTATGACTGTTAACAAAACAGCTCTCTTTTTGGCTTCTATCGTCACGTCATTAGCTTCAAGGTAAAAGCTTAACCTATCTAGATAATCATGAATGGTTTCATCATTCGAATCAAATTCTTTTATTTGGCCATATAGCGCCATTATTCTAGAAATACTTAGCCAATATGCTCTAGCAAGCTCATTTTTAAGTAAGCATATGCTCTTTCTAGTGGATTATTTATCCTCGTCGCCAGATGTAATAGATTGACGATAGAAGCATGTGATTGTATATAAAACGTTTATTGGCTTCAACTACATGATGGAAACGAGAGAGGGCGGAAGTGACGAGACACAAATATATATATACATATAAGGGACATCACTCAAGATAACAGTATAAATATAATACTAATACAAGAAGAGTGAGTTCCCTTGACTTCACAAGTCTCACTATATTACATGGAGTTTTGTTTCTCCTTCAGATGATACCCCACCAAACATCATCTGCCAGGATGCCTACACGTTTGAATTTAGAAACCAGACAGATGACCTGTACCAGGCCTTCAACAGGAATGTCGTGCATGTTTTTGATGACTCCACTCCCATGGACCAGCTTGTGGTGACCTTTGAACCTGCAAATTACACTTTCAGGCCAGGTCAGATGCTAAGCCCATCCTTCCCTCCCAGTCATTACCAGCTGGTTACAGCTAGAGTTCAAGACAACTTCAACAACACAGCAGTCTGCCAGTTTGGCTTGTACTACCAGCGTAAGTATGTCACAAACCATCAATACGTCGTTGGCTTGTACTACCAGCGTAAGTCTGTCACAAACCATCAATACGTCACACACCTTCTGTATGTCACACATCTTTAAATAGTCTAAACACAGGATTGTCTTCTTGTGACATATTATAAAAGGCTTTCCTGATCATATTAAGTACAGCATATTTTGTAAAGTTCAAATTTTATTTTTATTAAAGAACAGCATATTTTGTAAAGTTCAAATTTTATTTTTATTAAAGAACAGCATATTTTGTAAAGTTCAAATTTTATTTTTATAAAAGAACAGCATATTTTGTAAAGTTCAAATTTTATTTTTATTAAAGAACAGCAAATTTTGTAAAGTTCAAATTTTATTTTTATTAAGAGAAATTTTCAACACATTTTTAGCCACTAAACGATAATTGCTTTTAAAAATTATGAATCAATTATTTGTTATTTATGTTATTCAAGATTTACAATTGTCTCTTTCTGGTCCACAAAATATTTGTCCACTCAATATCAGCTGACGTATGTAGCCCGTACTATGTGAGAACCCCTCCCAACGCCAATCTTACGTGTTCACCAAATGGGGATGGCTATGACTGCATCATTCAGTGTGTCAGTGGATACCGTCTGTATTCTGATCTGTCCAAAACCTCCGCTAGAGTTTCTTGTTCTAAGAGAGGAGAAGAGTTTCTACCTAAAGATGACGTCAAGTGTGTTAGCCTGGGTAAGTCATGCTAAATACCAGTTGTTGTTTTTTATAGCTAGTTTGTACAAGCATTTTATTGTCTCGTGTGTCTTCTGTGTAAGTGGTCTCAAATAAATTTGTTTAGTCTTTCAAAATATTTTCAAGCTCATGTTTTTCTGTTCAAATTCACTTAGAGTCTTTGATTTCATTTTGAATACTCTGAATGAATCCATTGAAATATCCATAGGGTTACATTTGTTTATGATCTCCATGCTGCAAGTTCAGCTTTTGTAGGGGTATGGTAGAAGACTTATTTTATTTGGTTTTTACTTTTGTAGGGGTATAGTAGAACACTTATTTTATTTGGTTTTTACTTTTGTAGGGGTATAGTAGAACACTTATTTTATTTGGTTTTTACTTTTGTAGGGGTATGGTAGAACACTTATTTTATTTGGTTTTTACTTTTTTAGGGGTATGGTAGAACATTTATTTTATTTCTTGTCTTTTGAAAAAAAGTCTGGATGTGTAAAAATTGTAGTGGTAGGTTTGAGATGTAGTTCTAAGAGCATCTTTCCACTTATAGATACTCTCTCTGATGGGCCTTCTTTATAGATTTTATAGATACTATCTCTGATGGGGCTTGTTTATAAATAGTAGCTCTAATTAGGAGAAGCCTTTTTCTCATTGGCTTAAATGTGGTGGCATATTTTGTTGGCTTTTTTTGGAAATATTTATTGGACTGAAGCAATATGGCTGCAGCAATATGGCTGGAGCACATGTGGACAGTGGCTGTAGAACAGAGAGCAGTTTTGATGCTGTCATTTTTACTTTCTCGTATATACGAAGTATAGAGAAAGTATTGTATCACTGATACGGAAAAACATAATTTTGCAATCTTTTTCGTATGTCTGTGTGTCTATGTGTGTGTGTCTGTCTGTCCGTGTGTAAACACGATTACTTGAGAACCGTTACAGCTAGGTTGATGAAATTTCATATATAAGTATTTTATCAAAATCGTAGATCCGTATCAACTTTTGAGCGATTTCCGATAACCGGAAGTGGTACTTTTCCTACTTTGAATTTTTCAAAAGCCTATAACTTAAGTACTATTTCAGATAGATAAATGAAATTTCACATGTAAGTAAAAGATCTAATTCTCTACCTTCTGTTAAATTTTGAGTAATTTCCGTTGACCGGAAGTAGTAATTTACGCTACTTCCGATTTCTCAAAAAACTAATGTAAATTTTTAAAGTACTAATAATATTGCGCACTATTATGCGCTTTTTTATTTGCCGTTCACTTGGTGTGCAATTAATTTGTCTACGAGATTTTATTCTATTTTTAAAACTTTAAGAATTTAAAAATGGATTAAAAATCATGTCTATAGCCCGAGTTCCCATCCCCTGTTATTTTATATAAGAATATTCGAGAAAGTTTAGGGGAGGTCACTCCCGGTTTATTTGAAAGGCCTTTGGGTCAGTGTAACAACATGAATTCTTTGTTGTTGTGGGTTAGCTTTCATACAGGAACACGAGCAACAGTGGCAACTTCAAATGACAACTTTATTTACACTATGTACAGATAAATCCGTGGTACATCCATATTTGAAGATCAACTGATATAGGTACAAATAATAATCACGACTCCAAGTCATGGAGACATCTTACATTCACTGCCATCGTTCCAGTCCCAAGTCCTAGCACACAACACCCGTTCACCTTTCGCTCTCCCTTTTATTCACTACTTTCTCTCCCCTTACGTCAATGAGCGATCTCACCCAAAACACGGAAAAACACATGACGATCGCTCAGACAGTCCTTCCGCTAGCCAGGTACTCTTCATTCATGCAAAACACAATATAATAAAGATACATAATAATACAGTCTGTGACACGTGCCCCCTTCGAATAAAATTTTGTGTAACAAAATTTATAAATACAATATTAGTAGGGCAGGATCATGTGCCAGACAACAAAATTTATAAATACAGTATTGGTAGGGCAGGATCATGTGCCAGACAACAAAAAATTGTGTACAACTCAAAGTAGAGTAAAATATATTCATTTTAGACTAAGCACTTGTAGTCATAAATTTATAGTGCATACAAATACAACAGTATGTAGTGACTATATCAGTGATAATTAAAATATGTCAGTGTTTTTAACAAAAACTTTAAATGTACAAGCATTATGTGTAATATATTCAAATATGAGAAAGAAAAACATTTCAATTACCCAGTAATTGTAGTATAAACAAGACAAATGGGTGTAATAAATTACCAAACCAGTCTGGTACATGACTTAATTACCAAAACATAATACATAGTTGAAATTATCAAAGACTTAATTCAACTCATAATTTAAATAACTATATCCTATGTAGTAAAAAAAACTTCCTTATCATCAAGGCATGTTATTACGACGCATGATTAATATACTTTGTTGTCTCCCCTAGTTGACCCATTTCAGACAAATCTAGGTCACAACACAATCACATTCTTGCCTTACACAGGTATTGACTAATACACAATACATCATTGAGACTTCCGTCTTATTGTTATGCGGAATAAATAGTCTCTAACTCTTACTTTATACATTATTCCCTGTTAATTAATAGTATAGAATAGGTTTAACATAATACAGTTTACATTCTTTAGATATAGTACACAATTTATGTTTACTCAAACACATTATTTGATATTTATATATTACAGTTACAGACTGTATAATATTAATAAACTGTCAATTGATAATTTAATCTTAGCATCCTCTATAGCATGAGTAATCGTTCTCGTGCAGTTGACGATGACCTGTATGCCATCTCTCCCTCAAATTGTAGCTTTTAGCTGTGCTACCATAATCATTTCCTAGATTTCGTGTAACTTGTGTTACTTCATTTGTTTTAATATTCTCCTCTGGTTTCTGAACAACGTCAGTAGTTATCTTGCTTTGTGTACGTTCGTTTGGTTCATCAACCAACTCAATATAAATATTATGGCATTGCTTTGGCCTCTCATAATATGTGTTGCGTCGGTAACTTCCATTAGTATACCTATTCACACTTTTGTTATTCTGATTTGAACTTGATACATTATTCCTTAAATTACTGTATTTCTCACATGACTTTCTGTGTACATAATTGTTTCTTCTCTGATTTGCCAACCTATGCCAACATTGATTTTGGTAATGACCTGTTTTTGCGCAGTAAAAACATCTAGATTTTGGCTTCTTATAAACATGGTGACTGTATTCATAGTTTGCTAAATTTCTTTTTCTTTCATTCTGTGCATTAATGACATTAATGACATTCTTATTAACATGTTGACTGTATTCATAGTTTGCTAAATTTCTTTCACTTTCATTCTGTGCATTAATGACATTATAGTTTCTAGTTACTGTTTCATCTTTCTTAACTTCCTTGTGCTTCTTTATTGATTCTAATTCACACATAAATTTCTGTGTTAATTTCTCCATTTCTTTGTTAAATTTATTCTTGAGTTCTAGTATATCTTCTTTATAGTTTGACTCCAATTTTCGAAGTAAATCTTCAATAGGTACGTTCTCTTCATTGTGGCTTATTAAGTTCACTGATTCATTAATCATCATTAGTTTATCATGATTCCTGCCATTCTTCGATGGACTTATTAAATCATCACTGCCATTCACTGATGGGCTTATTAAATCATTTTGATTACTATTCTCTGATGGACTTATTTCTTGTTGACTGCCATTCTCTGATGGACTTGTTTCTTGTTGACTGCCATTCTCTGATGGACTTACGATACAACTTTCAATAATATTCTGGTGTACCTGCGTTTGAGTCAATAAAGAGTCAATCTTAAAACATTCTAATGTATCTGTCACCTTTAAATCATTATTAAGTTCAACCTCTGTTTTATCCTTGGGTTTCAATTCTTCCTGGACTATGTTACTCTGTTCTTCATTCCAAAGGTTGCCAATATTTACTTCTTCAAGTTCTGCTTTAAATTCTGTCTGTTCACTTTCTAATTTTGGTTCATTTGTGTCTGTTATAGCTTTCATTTCTAATAGTTCTTGTTTATATTCTAGTTCATGTAGGCCAACTTGTTTTTCCAAAGTTTCAGCCCTTTTATCTGCTCTCTGTTTTCTGTTTCTTTTTTTTTCGCTTTCCTTTTAGTTGTACAGTCTCTTCTACTTTATCTCCATCTGACATTTCTTCTTCTTTTTGCATGTCTGTAATAGCTGTTGATCTATTACGCACTATTTCTGTCTCACCATCTAATTCTCTTATTACTTTTCCATGAGCTAGTCTGGGTTGTTCATTTTCTTCGTCCCATGCTTCTAATGCTTTTTCTATGTCTCTGTCAAATCGAGTGTTTGCCCAGGCTATCTGCTTCTTCATCTTCTTAATGCCTTGCGCCCTCGCTAGTGCTAGATATTCTTCAAAACATAACATTTTGATATATTTTCTATTTATGACATAAAATATAAATTCATTAGTTAACAATAGGTAAATGTTAATTAATTTACAATACCCTTTCTTGGTTTCTGGCTTGTTTTAGTTGATTACAGACATCTGGTAATCCAAGAAAAGTTCATAGTACATATATACGTCCAAAAATAGTTCACTTTGTTGATTCCAAAAAGTTGAAAAAATTCAAAATAGTTCTAGTAGCCTGTTACAGAGTAGAAATTTGTCCAGTTTTAGATAAGACATCTTTAGGAACAGTTTAGGAACAGTTACAAAAATAAACTTGATCTGCTAAATCCAAACAGTAGAAAAACTTGAACAGCTAATCCATATAGAAAAAACTGGAACAGCTAAATCCAAACAGTAGAAAAGAAACACTAAGACTTGATCGGCTAAATCCAAACAGAAAAAATACACAGACGATATTTACTCGACATTGGTGAGACAATATCGAAATAAGGTGATAAAAATTATCACGTTGATGACTTGACTTGTACAAAACGTCTGACTTGACTACAGCAACCCTTCTGACTTGAATGTAGATAGATGACTTTCAAGAACTTGACGTACTTGGTAAACAGTGGAAGACCACAGACTGTAATATCTCCATTTCTGACATATGTAGCACCAATTCTTCAACCACTTGTGACATCATAAGTAACAGTAATACAATGTAGCAACATCACTTTATTGCCTCCACTTCTGACACCATATGTAACAACATGAATTCTTTGTTGTTGTGGGTTAGCTTTCATACAGGAACACGAGCAACAGTGGCAACTTCAAATGACAACTTTATTTACACTATGTACAGATAAATCCGTGGTACATCCATATTTGAAGATCAACTGATATAGGTACAAATAATAATCACGACTCCAAGTCATGGAGACATCTTACATTCACTGCCATCGTTCCAGTCCCAAGTCCTAGCACACAACACCCGTTCACCTTTCGCTCTCCCTTTTATTCACTACTTTCTCTCCCCTTACGTCAATGAGCGATCTCACCCAAAACACGGAAAAACACAAGACGATCGCTCAGACAGTCCTTCCGCTAGCCAGGTACTCTTCATTCATGCAAAACACAATATAATAAAGATACATAATAATACAGTCTGTGACAGTCAGGTTAATTTGATGCAGTTGATTGGACTTTGGCTATTTTGCAGGAATTTTTTGGACATTGACAAATTTTACCTCCTTCTCTCCTATCCTAAATATTTGTCCCCTCATGATAATGAGATTCATAAACCATTTTACTACTTTTATATGAGTTTACAATAACAAGAACTAAAAATGTGTCTTAAGGTTTAGCCTATCTCAAATTGAAGTAGAATATTTGTAACACACAGACATATGTGCACACACACACACACATTCACATAAAGATTGTGCTAGTTGGGGGGGGGGGGGAGTTAGTTTCTAATTCTACAACATGTTCCTGCTAAAGATTTGATTGGTTGTACACGTCATGTGGTCCACTTTTTGTTGCAGCAAAAGATTTGATTGGTTGTACACATCATGTGGTCCACTTTTTGTTGAGGCAAAAGATTTGATTGGCTGTACATGTCATGTGGTCCACTTTTTGCTGCAGCAAAAGTTTTGATTGGTTGTACACGTCATGTGGTCCACTTTTTGTTGCAGCAAAAGATTTGATTGAAGGAGGTTATCACATGATTGTAAACTATACCTACGTGGGAAATGTGACGGACAGCTGTAAGACCGGCTATGGAACCATTATAAATAATACTCTGCAACAGATGAACAACGAAAAAAGGCCAACTGTCCTATGTGATTTTTTTCAGCTCACTGGAAAAATGACCTTAAAGTCCCTGGAAATCAACTCTACTCTGAAAACAGTAAGATTGTTTCAGTTTAAATACATAATTCTAGTTTTTGTAAAAAAAATTCAGTTTAAATACATAATTCTAGTTTTTGTAAAAAAAATTCAGTTTAAATACATAATTCTAGTTTTTGTAAAAAAAAATTCAGTATAAATACATAATTCTAGTTTTTGTAAGATTGTTTCAGTTTAAATACATAATTCTAGTTTTTGTAAAAAAAAAAATTCAGTTTAAATACATAATTCTAGTTTTTGTAAAAAAAAAATTCAGTTTAAATACATAATTCTAGTTTTTGTAAAAAAAAAAATTCAGTTTAAATACATAATTCTAGTTTTTGTAAAAAAAAATTCAGTTTAAATACATAATTCTAGTTTTTGCAAAAAAAATTCAGTTTAAATACATAATTCTAGTTTTTGTAAGATTGTTTCAGTTTAAATACATAATTCTAGTTTTTGTAAAAATTTCAGTTTAAATATATAATTCTAGTTTTTGTAAAAAAAAATTCAGCTTAAATACATAACTCTAGTTTTTGTAAAAAAAAATTTCAGTTTAAATACATAATTCTAGTTTTTGTAAGATTGTTTCAGTTAAAATACATAATTCTAGTTTTTGTAAAAAAATTCAGTTTAAATACATAATTCTAGTTTTTGTAAGATTGTTTCAGTTTAAATACATAATACTAGTTTTTGCAAAATTGTTTCAGTTTAAATACATAATTCTAGTTTTTGTAAAAAAAAAAATTCAGTTTAAATACATAATTCTAGTTTTTGTAAAAAAAAAAATTCAGTTTAAATACATAATTCTAGTTTTTGTAAGATTGTTTCAGTTTAAATACATAATTCTAGTTTTTGTAAAAAAAAAATTCAGTTTAAATACATAATTCTAGTTTTTGTTTTAAAAAAATTCAGTTTAAATACATAATTCTAGTTTTTGTAAGATTGTTTCAGTTTAAATACATAATTCTAGTTTTTGTAAAATTGTTTCAGTTTAAATACATAATTCTAGTTTTTGTAAAAAAAAATTCAGTTTAAATACATAATTCTAGTTTTTGTAAAAAAAATTCAGTTTAAATACATAATTCTAGTTTTGCAAAAAAAATTCAGTTTAAATACATAATTCTAGTTTTTGTAAGATTGTTTCAGTTTAAATACATAATTCTAGTTTTTGTAAAAATTTCAGTTTAAATATATAATTCTAGTTTTTGTAAAAAAAAATTCAGCTTAAATACATAACTCTAGTTTTTGTAAAAAAAAATTTCAGTTTAAATACATAATTCTAGTTTTTGTAAGATTGTTTCAGTTAAAATACATAATTCTAGTTTTTGTTAAAAAAATTCAGTTTAAATACATAATTCTAGTTTTTGTAAGATTGTTTCAGTTTAAATACATAATTCTAGTTTTTGTAAAAAAAAAAAATTCAGTTTAAATACATAATTCTAGTTTTTGTAAAAAAAAAAAAATTCAGTTTAAATACATAATTCTAGTTTTTGTAAGATTGTTTCAGTTTAAATACATAATTCTAGTTTTTGTAAAAAAAAAATTCAGTTTAAATACATAATTCTAGTTTTTGTTTAAAAAAAATTCAGTTTAAATACATAATTCTAGTTTTTGTAAGATTGTTTCAGTTTAAATACATAATTCTAGTTTTTGTAAAATTGTTTCAGTTTAAATACATAATTCTAGTTTTTGTAAAAAAAAATCAGTTTAAATACATAATTCTAGTTTTTGTAAAAAAAATTCAGTTTAAATACATAATTCTAGTTTTTTGCAAAAAAAACTCAGTTTAAATACATAATTCTAGTTTTTGTAAGATTGTTTCAGTTTAAATACATAATTCTAGTTTTTGTAAAAATTTCAGTTTAAATATATAATTCTAGTTTTTGTAAAAAAAAATTCAGCTTAAATACATAACTCTAGTTTTTGTAAAAAAAAATTTCAGTTTAAATACATAATTCTAGTTTTTGTAAGATTGTTTCAGTTAAAATACATAATTCTAGTTTTTGTAAAAAAAATTCAGTTTAAATACATAATTCTAGTTTTTGTAAGATTGTTTCAGTTTAAATACATAATTCTAGTTTTTGTAAAAAAAAAATTCAGTTTAAATACATAATTCTAGTTTTTGTAAGATTGTTTCAGTTAAAATACATAATTCTAGTTTTTGTAAAAAAAAAAAATTCAGTTTAAATACATAATTCTAGTTTTTGTAAGATTGTTTCAGTTTAAATACATAATTCTAGTTTTTGTAAAAAAAAATTCAGTTTAAATACATAATTCTAGTTTTTGTTTTAAAAAAATTCAGTTTAAATACATAATTCTAGTTTTTGCAAAAAAAATTCAGTTTAAATACATAATTCTAGTTTTTGTAAAAATTTCAGTTTAAATATATAATTCTAGTTTTTGTAAAAAAAAATTCAGCTTAAATACATAACTCTAGTTTTTGTAAAAAAAAATTTCAATTTAAATACATAATTCTAGTTTTTGTAAGATTGTTTCAGTTACAATACATAATTCTAGTTTTTGTAAAAAAAATTCAGTTTAAATACATAATTCTAGTTTTTGTAAGATTGTTTCAGTTTAAATACATAATTCTAGTTTTTGTAAAAAAAAAAATTCAGTTTAAATACATAATTCTAGTTTTTGTAAAAAAAAAAAAATTCAGTTTAAATACATAATTCTAGTTTTTGTAAGATTGTTTTAGTTTAAATACATAATTCTAGTTTTTGTAAAAAAAAATTCAGTTTAAATACATAATTCTAGTTTTTGTTTAAAAAAAATTCAGTTTAAATACATAATTCTAGTTTTTGTAAGATTGTTTCAGTTTAAATACATAATTCTAGTTTTTGTAAAATTGTTTCAGTTTAAATACATAATTCTAGTTTTTGTAAAAAAAATTCAGTTTAAATACATAATTCTAGTTTTTGTAAAAAAAATTCAGTTTAAATACATAATTCTAGTTTTTGCAAAAAAAATTCAGTTTAAATACATAATTCTAGTTTTTGTAAGATTGTTTCAGTTTAAATACATAATTCTAGTTTTTGTAAAAATTTCAGTTTAAATACATAACTCTAGTTTTTGTAAAAAAAAAATTTCAGTTTAAATACATAATTCTAGTTTTTGTAAGATTGTTTCAGTTAAAATACATAATTCTAGTTTTTGTAAAAAAAATTCAGTTTAAATACATAATTCTAGTTTTTGTAAGATTGTTTCAGTTTAAATACATAATTCTAGTTTTTGTAAAAAAAAAAATTCAGTTTAAATACATAATTCTAGTTTTTGTAAAAAAAAAAAAAATCAGTTTAAATACATAATTCTAGTTTTTGTAAAAAAAAAAAAATTCAGTTTAAATACATAATTCTAGTTTTTGTAAGATTGTTTCAGTTTAAATACATAATTCTAGTTTTTGTAAAAAAAAAATTCAGTTTAAATACATAATTCTAGTTTTTGTAAGATTGTTTCAGTTTAAATACATAATTCTAGTTTTTGTAAGATTGTTTCAGTTTAAATACATAATTCTAGTTTTTGTAAAATTGTTTCAGTTTAAATACATAATTCTAGTTTTTGTAAAAAAAATTCAGTTTAAATACATAATTCTAGTTTTTGTAAAAAAAATTCAGTTTAAATACATAATTCTAGTTTTTGTAAGATTGTTTCAGTTTAAATACATAATTCTAGTTTTGGAAGATTGTTTCAGTTTATATACATAATTCTAGTTTTTGTAAAAATTTCAGTTTAAATACATAATTCCAGTTTTTGTAAGATTGTTTCAGTTTAAATACATAATTCTAGTTTTTGTAAGATTGTTTCAGTTTAAATACATAATTCTAGTTTTTGTAAAAATTTCAGTGTAAATACATTATTCTAGTTTTTGTAAAAAAAATTCAGTTTAAATACAAAATTCTAGTTTTTGTAAGATTGTTTCAGTTTAAATACATAATTCTAGTTTTTGTAAAATTGTTTCAGTTTAAATACATAATTCTAGTTTTTGTAAGATTGTTTCAGTTTAAATACATAATTCTAGTTTTTGTAAAATTGTTTCAGTTTAAATACATAATTCTAGTTTTTGTAAGATTGTTTCAGTTTAAATACATAATTCTAGTTTTTGTAAAAAAAAAATTCAGTTTAAATACATAATTCTAGTTTTTGTTTTAAAAAAATTCAGTTTAAATACATAATTCTAGTTTTTGTAAGATTGTTTCAGTTTAAATACATAATTCTAGTTTTTGTAAGATTGTTTCAGTTTAAATACATAATTCTAGTTTTTGTAAGATTGTTTCAGTTTAAATACATAATTCTTGTTTTTGTAAAATTGTTTCAGTTTAAATACATAATTCTAGTTTTTGTAAAAAAAATTCAGTTTAAATACATAATTCTAGTTTTTGTAAAAAAAAATTCAGTTTAAATACATAATTCTAGTTTTTGTAAGATTGTTTCAGTTTAAATACATAATTCTAGTTTTTGTTAGATTGTTTCAGTTTAAATACATAATTCTAGTTTTTGTAAAATTTTCAGTTTAAATACATAATTCTAGTTTTTGTGAGATTTGTTAGTTTAAATACATAATCCTAGTATTTAGAACATTCGACAAGTATAAAATAAGATTGTTTCAGTTTAAATACATAATTCTAGTTTTTGTAAAAAAAATTCAGTTTAAATACATCATTCTAGTTTTTGTAAAAAAAAATTCAGTTTAAATACATAATTCTAGTTTTTGTAAGATTGTTTCAGTTTAAATACATAATTCTAGTTTTTGTTAGATTGTTTCAGTTTAAATACATAATTCTAGTTTTTGTAAAAAAATTCAGTTGAAATACATAATTCTAGCTTTTGTAAGATTTTTTAGTTTAAATACATAATCCTAGTTTTTAGAACATTCGACATGTATAAAATTAGTTTGTTTATTTCAGCCACAAATTAGGTCATCATGGTTACTGGCACAGTAAATTTGGTCATTACTGTAAAATTATTTGCTAACTGTGGCCATAATGTGACCAAACTTGGTCATTACTGTAAAATCCCAAATTTATTTGTTAACTGTGGCCATAATGAAATGTGACCAAACTTGGTCATTACTGTAAAATCCCAAAATTATTTGTTAACTGTGGCCATAATGTGACCATAAATTTTCTTAGCCTTTCCTCGAGGTATAACTTTTGAATTATAAAAATTCTAACAATCAATGAAAAAGCCTGTGTAATTTGAGACATTGAATAAACCTATGACCATTGAATAAACGTATGACATGTGAATAAACCTATGACATTGAATAAACCTATGACATTGACTAAACCTATGATATTGACTAAAACTATGACATTGAATAAACCTATGACATTGAATAAACCTATGACATTGAATAAACCTTTGGCATTGACTAAACCTATGACATTGAATAAACCTTTGGCATTGACTAAACCTATGACATTGACTAAACCTATGACATTGACTAAACCTATGACATTGACTAAACCTATGACATTGACTAAACCTATGACATTGACTAAACCTATGACATTGACTAAACCTATGACATTGAATAAACCTATGACATTGACTAAACCTATGACATTGACTAAACCTATGACATTGACTAAACCTATGATATTGACTAAAACTATGACATTGAATAAACCTATGACATTGAATAAACCTATGACATTGAATAAACCTTTGGCATTGACTAAACCTATGACATTGACTAAACCTATGACATTGACTAAACCTATGACATTGACTAAACCTATGACATTGACTAAACCTATGACATTGACTAAACCTATGACATTGACTAAACCTATGATAGCCTCTTGAGTTTTCACCTTGCCAGGTATCTGTCCAGTACATGTTGACCTTTGATAAGGTCACCAACGGATCTTACAGAGCTTGTGCTGACCTTGTCGAGTTGGCATTTGAAGACCCTAATAAATATGCTGCTGTCGTGGGGGACCTGCGTGAATACAAGCCAAGTTCCTGTGCCCCTATCACCTATCAAAAAACTCAAATCAACTACAATGGCTACTACTGTGAGGATGTGTCCAAAAAACTTGTCTCTGTTGGTGATGTTGGCTATTGCTGTGAGTATAAGAGTAATATTTGAATCAGTAATGTCTAGAGAATGCTTGAATGAGTCAAGTCTGAAGCTGATGTGCATTCCATTTGATTTCTCCAGTGGTGTGTCCACCTGGCACCTACACATCCAATGGGAACTGTGTCCCGTGTCCCCTGGGGACATATGGACAACTCTCCAACACTCAAGTCTGTAGTTCCTGTCCTTCTTACACATACACATATAGAGTGGGGGCTGTCAGTGATAGGGAATGTGCAGGTATGTTGGTCTCATGTTCAGGTGTGTTGTGTTTTGGTCTGATGTTCAGGTGTGTTGTGTTTGTTGGTCTCATGTTCTGTGTTTGTTGGTCTCATCTACTGTGTTTGTTGGTCTCATGTACTGTGTTTGTTGGTCTCATGTAGTGTGTTTGTTGGTCTCATGTACTGTGTTTGTTGGTCTCATGTACTGTGTTTGTTGGTCTCATGTACTGTGTTTGTTGGTCTCATGTACTGTGTTTGTTGGTCTCATGTAGTGTGTTTGTTGGTCTCATGTAGTGTGTTTGTTGGTCTCATGTAGTGTGTTTGTTGGTCTCATGTAGTGTGTTTGTTGGTCTCATGTAGTGTGTTTGTTGGTCTCATGTACTGTGTTTGTTGGTCTCATGTAGTGTGTTTGTTGGTCTCATGTAGTGTGTTTGTTGGTCTCATGTAGTGTGTTTGTTGGTCTCATGTACTGTGTTTGTTGGTCTCATGTACTGTGTTTGTTGGTCTCATGTTCTGTGTTTGTTGGTCTCATGTACTGTGTTTGTTGGTCTCATGTACTGTGTTTGTTGGTCTCATGTAGTGTGTTTGTTGGTCTCATGTACTGTGTTTGTTGGTCTCATGTAGTGTGTTTGTTGGTCTCATGTACTGTGTTTGTTGGTCTCATGTAGTGTGTTTGTTGGTCTCATGTAGTGTGTTTGTTGGTCTCATGTAGTGTGTTTGTTGGTCTCATGTACTGTGTTTGTTGGTCTCATGTACTGTGTTTGTTGGTCTCATGTACTGTGTTTGTTGGTCTCATGTAGTGTGTTTGTTGGTCTCATGTAGTGTGTTTGTTGGTCTCATGTACTGTGTTTGTTGGTCTCATGTACTGTGTTTGTTGGTCTCATGTACTGTGTTTGTTGGTCTCATGTACTGTGTTTGTTGGTCTCATGTACTGTGTTTGTTGGTCTCATGTACTGTGTTTGTTGGTCTCATGTACTGTGTTTGTTGGTCTCATGTACTGTGTTTGTTGGTCTCATGTACTGTGTTTGTTGGTCTCATGTACTGTGTTTGTTGGTCTCATCTACTGTGTTTGTTGGTCTCATCTACTGTGTTTGTTGGTCTCATGTACTGTGTTTGTTGGTCTCATGTACTGTGTTTGTTGGTCTCATGTAGTGTGTTTGTTGGTCTCATGTACTGTGTTTGTTGGTCTCATGTACTGTGTTTGTTGGTCTCATGTAGTGTGTTTGTTGGTCTCATGTAGTGTGTTTGTTGGTCTCATGTTCTGTGTTTGTTGGTCTCATGTACTGTGTTTGTTGGTCTCATCTACTGTGTTTGTTGGTCTCATGTACTGTGTTTGTTGGTCTCATGTTCTGTGTTTGTTGGTCTCATGTAGTGTGTTTGTTGGTCTCATGTACTGTGTTTTGGTCTCATGTACTGTGTTTGTTGGTCTCATCTACTGTGTTTGTTGGTCTCATCTACTGTGTTTGTTGGTCTCATGTAGTGTGTTTGTTGGTCTCATGTAGTGTGTTTGTTGGTCTCATGTACTGTGTTTGTTGGTCTCATCTACTGTGTTTGTTGGTCTCATGTAGTGTGTTTGTTGGTCTCATGTACTGTGTTTGTTGGTCTCATGTACTGTGTTTGTTGGTCTCATGTTCTGTGTTTGTTGGTCTCATGTAGTGTGTTTGTTGGTCTCATGTACTGTGTTTGTTGGTCTCATGTAGTGTGTTTGTTGGTCTCATGTAGTGTGTTTGTTGGTCTCATGTACTGTGTTTGTTGGTCTCATGTACTGTGTTTGTTGGTCTCATGTACTGTGTTTGTTGGTCTCATGTAGTGTGTTTGTTGGTCTCATCTACTGTGTTTGTTGGTCTCATGTACTGTGTTTGTTGGTCTCATGTAGTGTGTTTGTTGGTCTCATGTAGTGTGTTTGTTGGTCTCATGTACTGTGTTTGTTGGTCTCATGTACTGTGTTTGTTGGTCTCATGTTCTGTGTTTGTTGGTCTCATGTACTGTGTTTGTTGGTCTCATGTACTGTGTTTGTTGGTCTCATGTACTGTGTTTGTTGGTCTCATGTAGTGTGTTTGTTGGTCTCATGTAGTGTGTTTGTTGGTCTCATGTACTGTGTTTGTTGGTCTCATGTAGTGTGTTTGTTGGTCTCATGTACTGTGTTTGTTGGTCTCATGTACTGTGTTTTGGTCTCATGTAGTGTGTTTGTTGGTCTCATGTACTGTGTTTGTTGGTCTCATGTACTGTGTTTGTTGGTCTCATGTAGTGTGTTTGTTGGTCTCATGTACTGTGTTTGTTGGTCTCATGTAGTGTGTTTGTTGGTCTCATGTAGTGTGTTTGTTGGTCTCATGTACTGTGTTTGTTGGTCTCATGTACTGTGTTTTGGTCTCATGTAGTGTGTTTGTTGGTCTCATGTAGTGTGTTTGTTGGTCTCATGTACTGTGTTTGTTGGTCTCATCTACTGTGTTTGTTGGTCTCATGTACTGTGTTTGTTGGTCTCATGTACTGTGTTTGTTGGTCTCATGTACTGTGTTTGTTGGTCTCATCTACTGTGTTTGTTGGTCTCATGTACTGTGTTTGTTGGTCTCATGTACTGTGTTTTGGTCTCATGTAGTGTGTTTGTTGGTCTCATGTACTGTGTTTGTTGGTCTCATCTACTGTGTTTGTTGGTCTCATGTTCTGTGTTTGTTGGTCTCATGTAGTGTGTTTGTTGGTCTCATGTAGTGTGTTTGTTGGTCTCATGTACTGTGTTTGTTGGTCTCATGTAGTGTGTTTGTTGGTCTCATGTTCTGTGTTTGTTGGTCTCATGTACTGTGTTTGTTGGTCTCATGTACTGTGTTTTGGTCTCATGTACTGTGTTTGTTGGTCTCATGTAGTGTGTTCAGGTGTGTTGGTCTCATGTAGTGTGTTTGTTGGTCTCATGTAGTGTGTTTGTTGGTCTCATGTACTGTGTTTGTTGGTCTCATGTACTGTGTTTGTTGGTCTCATGTACTGTGTTTGTTTGTCTCATGTACTGTGTTTGTTGGTCTCATGTAGTGTGTTTGTTGGTCTCATGTAGTGTGTTTGTTGGTCTCATGTAGTGTGTTTGTTGGTCTCATGTAGTGTGTTTGTTGGTCTCATGTAGTGTGTTTGTTGGTCTCATGTAGTGTGTTTGTTGGTCTCATGTACTGTGTTTGTTGGTCTCATGTAGTGTGTTTGTTGGTCTCATGTACTGTGTTTGTTGGTCTCATCTACTGTGTTTGTTGGTCTCATCTACTGTGTTTGTTGGTCTCATGTAGTGTGTTTGTTGGTCTCATGTAGTGTGTTTGTTGGTCTCATGTACTGTGTTTTGGTCTCATGTACTGTGTTTGTTGGTCTCATCTACTGTGTTTGTTGGTCTCATGTAGTGTGTTTGTTGGTCTCATGTAGTGTGTTTGTTGGTCTCATGTACTGTGTTTGTTGGTCTCATGTACTGTGTTTGTTGGTCTCATGTACTGTGTTTGTTGGTCTCATGTACTGTGTTTGTTGGTCTCATCTACTGTGTTTGTTGGTCTCATCTACTGTGTTTGTTGGTCTCATGTAGTGTGTTTGTTGGTCTCATGTAGTGTGTTTGTTGGTCTCATGTACTGTGTTTGTTGGTCTCATGTTCTGTGTTTGTTGGTCTCATGTACTGTGTTTGTTGGTCTCATGTAGTGTGTTTGTTGGTCTCATGTACTGTGTTTGTTGGTCTCATGTACTGTGTTTGTTGGTCTCATGTAGTGTGTTTGTTGGTCTCATGTAGTGTGTTTGTTGGTCTCATCTACTGTGATTGTTGGTCTCATGTACTGTGTTTGTTGGTCTCATGTACTGTGTTTGTTGGTCTCATGTAGTGTGTTTGTTGGTCTCATGTACTGTGTTTTGGTCTCATGTACTGTGTTTGTTGGTCTCATGTAGTGTGTTTGTTGGTCTCATGTACTGTGTTTGTTGGTCTCATGTACTGTGTTTGTTGGTCTCATGTACTGTGTTTGTTGGTCTCATGTAGTGTGTTTGTTGGTCTCATGTACTGTGTTTGTTGGTCTCATGTACTGTGTTTGTTGGTCTCATGTACTGTGTTTGTTGGTCTCATGTTCTGTGTTTGTTGGTCTTATGTACTGTGTTTGTTGGTCTCATGTAGTGTGTTTGTTGGTCTCATGTACTGTGTTTGTTGGTCTCATGTAGTGTGTTTGTTGGTCTCATGTACTGTGTTTGTTGGTCTCATCTACTGTGTTTGTTGGTCTCATGTAGTGTGTTTGTTGGTCGTGTTTGTTGGTCTCATGTACTGTGTTTGTTGGTCTCATGTACTGTGTTTGTTGGTCTCATCTACTGTGTTTGTTGGTCTCATGTAGTGTGTTTGTTGGTCTCATCTACTGTGTTTGTTGGTCTCATCTACTGTGTTTGTTGGTCTCATGTACTGTGTTTGTTGGTCTCATGTAGTGTGTTTGTTGGTCTCATGTAGTGTGTTTGTTGGTCTCATGTACTGTGTTTGTTGGTCTCATGTAGTGTGTTTGTTGGTCTCATGTAGTGTGTTTGTTGGTCTCATGTAGTGTGTTTGTTGGTCTCATGTAGTGTGTTTGTTGGTCTCATGTAGTGTGTTTGTTGGTCTCATCTACTGTGTTTGTTGGTCTCATGTAGTGTGTTTGTTGGTCTCATGTAGTGTGTTTGTTGGTCTCATGTAGTGTGTTTGTTGGTCTCATGTAGTGTGTTTGTTGGTCTCATGTAGTGTGTTTGTTGGTCTCATGTAGTGTGTTTGTTGGTCTCATGTAGTGTGTTTGTTGGTCTCATGTAGTGTGTTTGTTGGTCTCATCTACTGTGTTTGTTGGTCTCATGTAGTGTGTTTGTTGGTCTCATCTACTGTGTTTGTTGGTCTCATGTACTGTGATTGTTGGTCTCATGTAGTGTGTTTGTTGGTCTCATGTAGTGTGTTTGTTGGTCTCATGTACTGTGTTTGTTGGTCTCATGTACTGTGTTTGTTGGTCTCATGTACTGTGTTTGTTGGTCTCATGTAGTGTGTTTGTTGGTCTCATGTAGTGTGTTTGTTGG